TACATAGTTGTATATATATATTTGTATTTATATATATATATACATATATATACCCGTACCTTGCATCCTCGTTGTTTGTGGTGTGCCCATATCCTCGTCGATGATGGTGGTAAGGTCTGCATCAGGATGTGGGCTGGCGAGAAGGCTCAGAGAGTGCATGGTCAGTTGCAAATGCCTCTCTCCAGGGTTTGAGCTCATGCCTGTCTTATACTCTGCCGAATGTGCGTACATGCATGTGCTTTAGTACTTACAAGATAGGAGAGATAGTGAGCATACAGATGTATAGGGCTTTGTACCAGATTGTGAAGGATATTGTGTATGTGCATGTGTATATATATATATACTAGGTTGTGAAAGATACGTTGCATGTATTCATGTGTACTGTAAATATGCATGTATATATATATATATATATATAAATATATATACCAGGATATGAAAGATACTTGCATGTTTGTATGTGAATTGATATATCCCAGGCAATGAACGATACTGCGTATATGTATGTATATCAGATGTACGTACATTGTATGCCTATATTTATATATGTATAGTAGATATATATGTATACGGATACTTTGATCTAAATATACGGATACTTCTACTTTGATCTATATATTCGGATACTTTGATCTATATATACGTATACTTTGATCCATATATACGTATACTTTGATCTATATAAACGTATACTTTGATCTATATATACGGATACCTATACTTTAATAATTTGATCTATATATACGGATACCTATACTTTAATCTATATATATGTATACGTTGATCTATGTATACTGATACTTTGATCTATATATGCGTATACTTTGATGAATATATACGTATACTTTGATCTATATATACCGATACTTTGATGTATATATACGTATACTTTTATCTATATATACGTATACTTTGATCTATATATACGTTACTTTGAACTTTGATCTATATATACTGATACTTTGATGTTGAGATGTGCACACACGTATGCCCGGACGTACCCACTTGAAAGCGATCCAGAGCCAACATTGTCACCAGATTCTTGCTCGTTGCCACCTGAGCGAGATTGAGAGGGTGATATTCAATAGAGAATTATCCAATAAGTATACAAATAGGCACAATTCAGTGTACATCCAAGTCCACATGGGTGTGTGTATAAATAAATACACATGTGTACACATAGGTCTGTATACAGCCAGGCACAGTTCAGTGTATATTCATGTACACATGGGTGAGTGTATATATATACACATAAGTACACGTAGGCGTGTACTACGAGTGGTTGGTACATTGAACATTGTGAAACGGAAGTGAGTTATAGGGTTTTAGAGTTTTAGGGCTTTAGGGTTTTAGGGTCGCACCACTGACCTATACAGTGCTGAGACACACTCCACGTGGTGCTATGGTACAGAAGTCCACTCCCCAAACACAACGGCAGGTATGAACAGCTCGCATCCCAAGACCACGCTAGATACAAGGGTGCGCACACGCGCCGAACCCCAATAAAAATAGACTATGGCGTGTGCTAAAAATAGATTACCTACCTGCTTGGCCCCAGAGCTCCAGGACAGGTCGGTGGTACTCACACGCGCGCGTTTGTCTGTGTCCAGGAGCAGAGAGAAGCCCACGTGCTCTACGATGACGTTGATGCAGATGTTGGAACGGGTGGTTTTGCGCGTGTCTGTGATGGGGGAGATAAGGAGACACACAGTATATGGTCACATGCAGCTTAAGATGGATGGGTATGTGTATTCAGATACATTTAGTGTAGATGGGTATGTATATTCAGATAGATTTGGTGTAGATGTGTATGTATATTCAGATACATTTAGTGTATGTGTGTATATATTTAGTGTAGATGTGTGTATATATTCAGATTAGTGTAGATGTGTATATATATTCAGATAGATTTAGTGTAGATGGGTTTTTATATATAGAAACATTTAGTGTAAATGTGTATGAATATCCAGATACATTTAAAATGGATACGTATGTATATTCAAATACATTTAGTGTAGATGTGTATATATATTCAGATACATTTAAGATGGATGTGTATATATATTCAGATACATTTAGCGTAGATGTGCATATATGTGTGTGTAACACGACAAGTGTGTGCAAATATATGTACAGCACATGAGCGCTTGCTGTGTATGTTAACCTATATGAATGTATCGAGATGTATATATATATATATATAAGTAGAACGACAAGTAGGTACAACTCTATTTATAGCTCACACAATGCCTACTTTGTATGTTCACATATACAAATGTATATATCAGCAAAAATTCAAGCAGTCAAGCAGATAG